CACTCCCCTGCAAGACAGATCCTACAGTGACAAACGCAGTTCCATACAGCAAATACAACTGTAATGACCCGCTGCTGAGGCAGGAGGATCCTTCTCTACCCGGGAGGAAGGTCTCTTGTGTACTGTGTGGGATGTGTACCCTGCTTACCCTGCTTTGTGGGTGGAAGCTTTTTTGCTGTACGTTTGCATTGTGATTAACAGAAAAAAAAATTGAGTCTTGTTCCTGTATTTGACCATTTTGACAGGTGCCCTAAGAGCAGCATCTGTGCCAGGACCCAGAGCCTGGCTGAAGGGGGTCTGTGCCTTCATCTCACCTTGCTATCTTTTTCTTGCTACAAGAAGCAAAAAGCGATTCCCAAATTTGCCCAGGGCTTCTGGAGGGACAGGCACGTTTTGTGCTGGTTGTTAGTGCCATAAAACCTTGGCTTCAAATTAGAAGAAATTAGGGACATTGCACAGTTCATTCATCTTCACTAATAGAGTTCTTGGGAAATACACATGTAGATTAAAGGAACACAATGGCCCCTGGCTGATTGCTTTGAGCACCCTCCAATGCCCCCACAATGGCATTGACTTGCTTTTCAGATGGTGCACAAAAGCCACACTAACCTTTTCTTGTCTCTTCTGTTGGCCTCTTCCCTCTTTGCCAGCCGATGGCTGAGTTCTTTCGGCCCTGACCCCCGCCCCCAGCAGCAGGCAGTGAAGGCAAACCTCACCTGGAGCTGGCAGGAAAAGCTGAGCACGTCTAAAAGGAATTAACCTGGGCACATCAGACCTTAAACCTTAAAAAGGTGTGGGCACGGGCAGAGGCAAGCACTGCCAATCTCTGTTTTGAAGTGACTCTTCTGGAAAAATCTACACAAAATGCTCGCGGGGGGGGGGGGTCTAGAGTGGAGAGAGAAAAAAATTAAGATTTGTTGAGAGAGGTCATACCTTTTATTCAGCTAGCTAATATATCTGGAAACAGCAGCAGCAGTGGTGTTTTTCATTCACATATACTCTCCTCAGGCTTGAAATGGAAGAATCTTCAAAGCTAAGTGCAGGCTGAAAACCACTCTGGATGTCACTGTGTTTGTCACTTAAACTAGCTGGGACAAAAGATGGCTGGTGCCTCAGAGGAACTGGCAAGTGCTAGCATAAAAAGTGATAAAGTGGCAGAAAGACAAAAGCAGGAAAAATATTGCTGCAGGACAGAGTACACCGGAGGCAGGAGACACGATGCCGTCGGCTGGTTAGTGCTGTGCCGAGTCCATGTCCTCCACCAAGCCAAGTACAAAGTAAGGTGTGGGATCCTGGCGCGCTGTCTTACCCGCAAAAGCATTTTGTAGCTCTCCCATGAAGCCATGCCCTGCCCTCTAGCCTGCCAGCCACACTCACGCCACGGAAGGCAGCGTCACAGAATCGGCTCTTCTCACAGGGTCTGTCCTACACCAACATCTTGGAAAATTTCCTCAGAAATATTGCCTAGGGCTTTCCCCAGACTTGTGAAGGCTGAAAGGCTGAGCCCAGCTCCTTCAGATGTCTCCAGAGTCCATGCTTCCCAGAAGCCCGCACGCACTTTCACTTGGTCTGCAAACCCGGCTGCGAAGGCAGCCCGCCGCAGGGCACCTATCTCGACAGGGGACCAGAGCATCAGCTTGTACCCCGATGCTTTTTCCCCCGAGCATCTGACGCAGAGCAGCGCCACGGCGGCCTCCCGCGTGTCACCTTTCGAGAGGCCCCCCCCGCAACCCACGCACTTCAGAAACGCCTGGGACGGTCGGGGGCTGGAGCT